TTGATGTGTTCTGAAGCTGGCCACTGGGTGTGCTCTCTCTGGGGCAAGGTCAGCTACTGCCTGTGTTCTACCTGGGGCCACCAGGCATTAGCTACGAAGTGATCTGCAAATAGCTGCTTCCTGTGCTGGGCCAGGATGTGCCCAGGCAAAGGCAAGCTGTGAACCAAGGCTGGCTGCTTCTGGTGCCAGGCCTGGGGCCACCTAGCAAGAGGTATGGGGCTTGCTTAAGCCAGATGCTGCTTGTTTGAGAGAATTTAAGAAAATCTGAAGCAGGAACCAGTCCTGCCTTGGCTTCACCCCTCCTATCAGTCTCCAAGTGGCTTCTTTAATTCCATAGTTGTAGGACTTCCATTCAGCTCCATTTCGTGCATTTACGAATGATGGTTGTTTTGTAGTTTAGTTTTAATTTTCATGTGTTTGGGGAGGAAGGGGTGAGTACCGTGTTTACCCACCAGCCGTCTTCACTGTCTGGGTTCTTTTTTTTTAAAGGTATGTTGAGCTCCTACCTGATATAGGTAGGGCTAGGTAAGCACTGACTTTGGATTTCTCTTAAGAAAAGCTGCATCACTGTATAAAGACATTGCTTTTATATTTCAGGGTGTTAAGCAGTGTATTGTGGGAACACACTGTAGGTTGTATAGTGCAGATCTGTTCTATTAGATCTGTTCATCTAATCATATAAAATTCAACATATAAAAAGTTGTCTTTAACACTAATTCCTAAATCTTAATAAGTGGAAACATTTTGCTGTATTTTTAGGGAAACTAAATATCAGATTGTCTTAAAAGTGGGGCTTCTGGATTCTAATTTAATTCTCCCTTTATAAGTTTTTATGGGATTTGTTTTGTCTCTTCTCTTCCCACTAGCAATTGTTTTTTGTTTGTTTATTTTTCCATTGATTTTTTTGATAGGGTAGAATAGAGGGAGGGAGAGAGAGAGAGAGAAACATCAATGTGAGAGAGACACATTGATTGTTTGCCTCCCACATGACCATAGCTAGGGCCAGGGTTCGAACCTACAACCCAGGTATGTGGCTTTGACCCAGAATTGAACCTGTGACCATTTGGTTTGCTGGCTGATACTCAATAACTGCTGAGCCAAACTGGCCAGGGCCCCACTAATTTATAGAAATCTTGGCATTAAGAACCTGACAGATCCTTATAAATATTCCACTACACTCTGCTATTTTTATATACTTTTTCTTGCCTTCTGAATGCCCCATCAGCCACACTACAGGCCTAGGTGATAATACCATGTATGAATATTTGTGTTGACACAAGTGTGAGGCTTGAAAATAGTCCTAGATAGTCACCTTCCACACAATTAGAACTTTTGACCTAGCTCAGAATGTAGTATAACACTGTATGGTTGCTTCTGCCTATCTCCAAAGGAGTGATTTAGTGCTTTTGTTTTTTAAAAGAGTGTTCTTATTTTTAATATTGTACTAAACTGTGTAAATATTTTATAAATTTAAAATTTGACCATGAAATTTCTTTACTAATAATCTATCTATGCTTCAAGCAGAAATTATCTTTGGCATTCGTGAATTCTTTAATCTAATATTGAACAAAGAATCACAGGGTACCTTCCCTGGGCCTGGCACTGAACTAGACACAGTTGCAGCAGATGCAAAGGACATACTCAGCCTGGCCCTCGTGGAGTCCGAAGTCTGGTGGAATTTTGAAAGAGCAGTAGACAGTGCACAGAGATAGATAGATAGATAGATAGATAGATAGATAGATAGATAGATAGATAAAGCAAGGTGCCAATGAGGTGATGGAATATGGAGACGGAGCGCCTAACCTTGACTATGGAGGCAGTGGTGAGGCTAGAAGGATAACTAGGAGTTGGCCAAGTAATGAAGAGGCCAAGGAAGCCCTGGCCTGTTTTGCTCAGTTGTTGGAGCATCGACCTGCGGTCCAGAGAAACCGGGGTTCGGTTCCCGCTAGGGGCATGTACCTTGGTTGCAGTTTGTCCCTGGCCCTGGTTGGGTGGGGTGGGTGGCAACCACTCGATGTTTCCCTTTTGCGTCGATGTTTCTCTCTTCCTCTCTCTCCCTCCCACTCTATCTGAACAAAAAAACAAAAAAGTGTCCTTGGGTGGGGATAAGGATTAAAAAAAAAAAGGAGAAGGGGCCAAGGTTTTCCAGAGAGAGGAGCAGCACCAGCATGTGTAACCAATGGATGAAGTAAGGTATTTAGGAAGTGCAAGTAATCAGAAGAATGGATTGGGGTGGGCTAGGAACACTAGGAAGGGAGAAAGAGCTGAAGCCACAATGCTTACATTGACCCATTTTTTTTTTTTAAATCCTCACCCAAGGATATTTTTATATTTATCTTCAGATAGAGTTGGGGTAGGGGGGCAGGAGGACGGGGAGAGAAATATAGATGTGAGAGACACATATCAACTGGCTGCCTCCTGCATGACCCCAACCAGGGCCGGAGACCAAACCTCAACTGAGGTACGTGCCCTTGATTGGAATCAAACCTGGGACTCTTTGGTCCATGAGCCGACACTCTAACCGCTGAGCCAAACTGACAAGGGCTACATTGACTCAGTCTTAAAGGACCATGGCCAGGGGCTTGTAGGTGGTGATGATAGTGGCATGGGCAGATTTGTAGTGTATTGTGGCAACATTGTACGGGGTGCACTGAAGTAAAAGCAGAAAGGCACTGCGGAAATCCAGGTTAGATTAGTGATCTAAGACCATGGCAGTGGCAGATGGGGTGGAAAGGACAGGACAGATATTCAGGACACAAATCAACAAGATCCTATTTGGGTTAGCAAGAAGGAAAAGGAGTCAGGAATGACTTCCATGTTCTGGTTGGAAAATCAGGGGGTAAACTAGGTTGGAGATCTGATATGGACATAGGGCTGTGTGTCCAGAGTATGCAGGATACAGTCAGCCCCACCAGGAGTGTGCCTAAGGAGAGAAAATCTGTTCTGTTCTGAGTCCAAGGCACTTCCACCTGATGAAGGAGTGAAGATTCACCAGCCAGAGGGCAGGTAGGAAATCAAAAAGACCATCTGGTGGAAACCAAAGTACAAGAACTTCTCAAGGATAGACAGAGCCAGCTCCACACAGAGGTCAAAGAGAGTAAAGACCAAAGTTTATGGATGATCTTTAGCCCCTGGGACACCATTGATGACCCCGGTGAGAATATTTTCAGTGTAGGAAGCTATGCTGCCAGAGGCTGAGGTATGAACAGGAGGAAGGAAGGAAGGATAAGGGGAGTCTCATTCCCTTTTTAATTCTTAGCTGCGGTGGACAGGAGGAAATTGGTGGAACTAACCAGAGACTTTCAATGGAAGGAGGTGCTGTTGGTTTTAAATGGGACAGAGTTGAATGTATTTGTACACTTGACGGGAACAAGCCAGTAGAAAAGAGATTGAAGAAAGAGGGGAGATTGGAGAAGAGGAGACATATTGACAGGTGAAGAGACTGCCATGACCCTGAGCTCAGGGGCAGTGTAGTGGGAAGCCCGCACTAGGTGAGGGTTTGCTCTCTGTGCAAGGAAAGGCCAAGCCATGTAGAAAGTGAGAGAAATGGCCCTGGCCAGTTTGGCTCAGCGGTTAGAGCGTTGGCCCGCAGAGCAGAGTCCTGGGTTCAGTTTCCGCTAGGGGCATGTTCCTCGGTTGCAGTTTGTCCCTGGACCCAGTTGGGGTTGTGTGGGTGGCGACCAGTTGATGTGTCTCTCTCACATTGAAGTTTCTTTCTCTCTTCTCCCCTCTCTCCCTCCCGCTCTATCTGAAGATAAATGCAAAAATGTCCTCTGGTGAGGATAAAAAAAGAAAAAAAGTAAGAGAAATGTAGGATTGGAGAAAAGTGGAGCACTTGAAGACAGAGCTTGGCAAAGGCATGTAAAAGAATCATTGTGCAGTGCCAGGGGTGGGGGAAGTGGTGGTGGTGGTGCTTCCCTGGAGACCATCAACTTGTAACAAGTGATCTCCACAGCACAGTGCTGGTCCACGACCCACTGCCCAGTCACTTTTTTTGCCCTCCTTCCCCAAGTACAGCAACGTTAAGTGCAAAGAGGCTGACTGCATCTCCGTTTGGCTGTAGCAAGAATGGAGGGACCTATCTCACAGTAACAATACATGAGGGCACATGCCTGTTTCCTGCCCTCGTTTGTTCTTGGCCACAATGCAAGTTTGAGGCCAAAGAGTCCTCTAGAAAAGGAGTACTGCTGTTGAGAGAACTGCAAAGGAGAAACGCAGGCTGGAGGTAAAGACCAGAGAGGCTAAGGGAGGCGGCAGCGTGGGTGTGCTGGAATAGTTTAGAAAATGAGGGGAACAAAGGCAGTGTGACTGGTGAGCTTCTTACAGATCCTCCTCCTTGATAGAATATGTATGATCCTGCGTGAGGCCTCCACTGCCTACGAGCAGGGAGGCATCAGAAGGATCTAAGGGGAGCGTTTGCCCAGACCCACTCTCCTGGGCTTGGGGTGCAAGACAGACACCTGGCCGTGACCCCGCAAGGGTGAACCTCCCACAAGCCGGGCCCTTAGAGGTCAGCTCCCGACCCCTCCAGCACTGTTAGCGCTAGCTCCCGTCTAACACCCCAGGACCAGCGTACTGGCATCCCACCCAGCGGTCCAGCTTTCCTTCCTTGCGGCTCAGAGGCCCTGGTGGAGCTCAGACCCAGGAGGAAGCCCAGGACTCACGCAGGAGGCAGAGCGGGGCTCCGGCTAGAGGGTAGGTGCCCATAGTCTCCTTGAGGGGACTCAGTGGCACACTGTTCCACCTGCTGCCCCTTGTCACCACCCAGCCACTGCCCTCCCCCACCTTCCCCGCCCAGGTACTAGGCTGAGCACACCAGCCCCTCAGTCCAGTCGGGGCGATTCCCCACTGTGCAGCCGAGGGCGGGGCGGAGTTGGGCTGAGCTCGCCTTGGGAACCCTGGGCCAGCGGAGGCACAGCGCCACCCGGCTGGCTCCAGCAGAGCCTGGTGCTCTCTGCCCCTTTCTCTGTTCATTGTATGCTATTTATCCAGCAGATGATTCTAAACAGTTATCTTTAAAAAGCATTTGACTCTGTGCGTCTTCCTTGCATCCTTTTTAGTTAGTTAGGAGTTTGCGTTGGGCAGAGGGGAGGGAGAAGAACGCCTGTTCTGATCGGGAAACACCGAGAGACCAGACCATCTCTTTCAGCAGCAAGGAAAAGAAGCCTTCGCAGGATCCACACATTATCTACCACTTTCTATTGCTTTTTGTGCAAATTCCTAATTGTGCCTGACGTCCAACCAAGCAGGCAGGCATGGGCTGTTTGGGCAACAGCAAGACAACAGAAGACCAGGGCGTTGATGAAAAAGAAAGACGCGAGGCCAACAAAAAGATCGAGAAGCAGTTGCAGAAGGAGCGCCTGGCTTACAAAGCGACTCATCGCCTGCTTCTACTGGGTAAGGCGAGAGGGCTCTCGGCGGTGGCAGCGGCTCTGGCCAGGGAGTGGAGCGCACAGCCAGCGTCTCGGCCAGCCTCTCCAGCCCAGAGCCGCGTGTACTTGAAAATGCCTGCCTTGGGATAGGATAATTGCTTAGTGTGGGTTGGCGTGAAAGATGGCAAGGGCATCCAGCTACAGATAACAGCATTCTTTTTGTTGTTTGTAGGGGCTGGTGAGTCTGGCAAAAGCACTATTGTCAAACAAATGAGGATCCTGCACGTCAATGGATTTAATCCGGAGTAAGGAATGATCAGTTTCTGTTTTGCTTCCAAAATGCATGCAAATTTTGTCACTTCCCTTCCAATCCTCCCTAAAGTACCTTCTCTAAGCAGTTAATTTAATCATTGAACACACCTCTAAGGGAGAAAAATATAGGAGTGTATTGTTAAATTTGGTATGTTTAGGTAAATCTTTTTCTGGCAGTGTCTAGATTGAAAAATAAAATAACTTGCTTAACAAAATATGATTTTTATTAGACATTCTTGAGGTATTGATCTGTATTCTTGGCATTGCTCTGCACACACTTCACCAATATGTCAATATATACTTTTCTCTATGTCATTTGTCTGCATCTATTCTAATGCATATCTGTCAATACATGGATAGATTCAAATCAAATCTGCTTACAAGTTGTAGCTGTATAGTTTTTATGTGCAATAATCATGACAAGTTTGCCATGTCTTGTGCAAGCTGCGTGGTTATTTAAAGCTATAGATTGTAATGTGTGCATTCAAGTTTCTTTATAGTGCAAATTAGAAAAGGGGGATGTTTTCCTTTCCTAGGTAAAAACTTTACAGATAAAAACTGTTGTCACGGGGGGTTGATGTTAACCTCAAGCAAAACCAGTCTAGCCAGGTGCTGGAGCTGGAAATTTAAAGTTCCACCCAATCCATTTAAATCAGTGCTAACAAATTAAATTAATAACAATTCTCTTTTAATACAGGGAAAAGAAACAGAAAATTCTGGACATCCGGAAAAATGTTAAAGATGCTATTGTGGTAAGAACTTTTATTTAAATGTTTGTTTAATAGAAAAGTTAAGTACTCTGCTCTCTAAAACTAAGTAGACAGAAGTTGTATATAGATTATCATACATGGAGCCTAAGTGTTATATTTATCAACGAATATATTTTTCTTCATTCCATTTTAGACAATTATTTCCGCAATGAGTACTATAATACCTCCAGTTCCACTGGCCAACCCAGAAAATCAATTTCGGTCTGACTATATCAAGAGTATCGCCCCTATCACTGACTTTGAATATTCCCAGGTACGTAATTCCTTATTAAAATATTTTAAGTGGTGCAAGATTGAACCTTTTTTTTTTATCCTCACCCAAGCATACGTTTACTGATTTTTAGAGGGAGAGGAATGGAGAGAGAGAGAAAGAAACATCAATGTGAGAGAGAAACATCCATGTAAGAGAGAAACATTTATTGGTTGCCTCCCCTACCTGTCCCAACCCGGGATCAAGCCCGCAGCCTTTTGGCATATGGGACAATGCTCCAATCAACTGAGCCACACTGGCTAAGGCAGAACCATTTTTAATAAGGTGGCTTACTGAGAATCAATGCTAATATTAATTCATTATTAACTTTCTTCAAAATCTAGCTCTGCTTAAAAGAAATGTTTTCCTCTGTATCAAAATATTAACATTGGTTAAAAATATTAAGGACAATAGGATTGTAAAAAAATGCTTTTATGAATGTATTGGTGAGGTTGATCATCAAGAAGACAGCATTCCTATAGTACTTTTTCCTATATGTATTTTTAAATTACCAACTAAGCAGTTTCCAAGATAATAAATGAGTAGAAATTCCATGAGTAGAAAGAATTACTTTCTGATTTGTGATTGCCCCTGAGGGAAAAATAGAAAGAACAGAATTCCATTTACTTTTAAGGTGTGTATCTTTCCGATCAAATGAGAAGAGAGTGCATGCTGTAAATAATAACGTGGATTACTCTTGAACATTTATTATGTGATAGGAAAATGTTTGTTTTACATCTGCAGGATTTAGGGCTGCTTTTGATGACTTGGATGGCAGTATTGCTTATGCAAAAGGATGATGGGAATATTAGTTTTCTGTTGTTTGGGAATAAACATTTCTTTAAAATACAGTCAGCCCTCGTTTATCGTGGTTAATCAGTTCCAGACTCTACCGCGATAAATGAATTTCCCCGAAGTAGGATTCTTTATTTACATACAGTGGTCCCTCGCCACTTCCCACTTGGACTTTCCCGCTCCGCGACAGAGGGAAGCCATGAAAGTAGAAGCGCGAAATGAGGAGGAACAACTGCATTGTTATTTGGCAATTAGATCATGCATGTTTCAAAGAAAAACATACTTGTTAAATTTCTCAGAAAATCATTTTTGTTACAGTTGTGCCCAAAAAGTATGTTTGTGTATATGTGTACACATCAATAATGGTATGTCAAAGTTTTCACTGCCTGGCACAGTGCTCTTGAGACATTTTTCATTCTCAGAATCCTGTCTTCGAAGGGAAGCTGATGCAGAAACCAGTATATACAATACATAGATCCTGCCCTGCTCTTACTGAAGTTCTGGCCAGTGTGTGCCTGCTCAGCCCTACCCACCTCTTCATCACAACATGGTTGTCCTATAGGCTCTGTATCGAGATGGTGAATAAGAATACTATTTTTTTTAGCTTTTATTTGCATCCTCTCAAGGATCCCATCTCATGACATTATTGCTTCTGATAAGCAAGCATTCCAATGTAGCCAGTGAGATCCCTAGAATTTTTTTAATGGACTTGGCGATAGCAAAATGGCTAGAAAAGAGGGATAAGGCATTGGCACAACAGAGCCCACTGGTTTTTACTAAACTGTTTTGAACTGATTGGATGGCTTGGAGGGGCAGGTAAAGGGGATGATGTGGGGGCGGGGGGATGACGGGTAATGCCAAAGCAGTGCTTCAGCCAGCTAGGGGTGTTGGATGTCCTTCCAACACTGTGACATTTTACATATGGCAGCAGTCGCCCAAAAATACAAGGTCCTAGCTGAAATCAGGTGTGGCATTTCCATTTAACTTCAGATTTACACATTTATAGACATATATTTAAGTTCTCGATTTTGTCCTGTCATGTTCACTTAAAAGTAATGATAAAATAGCTTATATATGGTTCTGATGCAGGGAAAAAATTATTCTTAGCATATTATAAGAAGTTACAATTAAAATATATTAATCAGCCCAGCCAGTGTAGCTGAGTGGTTGAGCATTGACCCATGCACCAAGAGGTTACTGATTTGATTCCTGGTCAGGATATATGCCCAGGTTGTGGGCCTGATCCCCAGTGGGGGGCATGCAGAAGGCAGCCAATCAATGTTTTCTCTCATTGATGTTTCTATCTCTCCCTCTCCCTCCCTCTCTCTATAAAGATCAATAAAGAAAAAGAAAGAATCAAAAAAACAATGCAACAAAGCATGCTGTTCCTTAAAAAGATTTAGGATTATTTCTTGAATAAATGCTTCTCAAATTGTTTTAAACTTTAAAAAAATGTATTAATTAGTCACATATTTTCTTTCTTGTACATGACAGACTCACACATGATAAAGAGATTCCCTATTTAATCTGAGGTTCAGAAACAGTAACTCTCCAGCAGGTTACTATGGAATCTAAAGCACCTAATTTGTAAAAGTGTTCATTGAGCTAAATCATGAATATAATTAATTTTTAAAAATTCGAGAAACCATTTCCTTTGCACACATGTATTTTCATATAGAAGTGTTTACTTAAAAATGATTATAAAAATCATAATTAATTATCAATAAAAAAGAATTAGGAACCAGCAGATGCAGATGCAAATGTAATTATAATGCTCTTTCAGAGGTAATAATTTTTTGGTAGTTTTTAAGCCTAACATTCTGTTTTCATTTGTGTGTCTGTCCATGTCAAATGAGATTATGTTTATAAAAGAGCCTACACTTATATAAATGAGGGAATTAATATTTAAATATATAACTTTACTTCTGAAAATGCTATTATTTGATATGCACACATTTTCAGTAACATTTATTCCATATTGCTCTGAAATATTCATTTCACTTATATTATTAGATTAAATAGTTCTTGGATTGACATTTTGATGACCCTAAGACAGATCTCTGACATACATATTCATATTACTTGCTACATAGTATTTGGAGAAAATTATCTTTTATTTAAAGAAAATATTTATTGTAAAAATCATAGAAGTAGGGCTAAATCAAGTATGTATAGTAAACATAACACTAATATACTAAATCTAGTATTTTTTTAGATCAAATCCTTGACAGTCTTTCAGTGCCAGCCACATGCAATTTCTTGAGGATTTTAAGTTTATTTTTCTGTAGATATAAAATAATTTTTTAACCAAATACACCCTATCATTTAAAATAATTCAGAGTTTTTTACTTAAAGAAGGAAACATTTGAAGACTATGAATTTAAAATTATACATGAGATTGGTCATTTTACTGGAAAGTCTAAATTTATCTTAAGGTGTCTTAAGAACCTCCTCTAAGAATATCACCCTTGAGTTTCTCTTTTGTCCTTTTGCTTTCCACTTGAATTTCAGTTTAATTATGTGAAACTTGAGTTGTAACAGAAAGAAGGCCAGCATAGAGCGTGCCTATACAGCTAAGGGTTGCTGGGGGAGGTTAGAGAAAGCGCCAGGGACCTAATCTTGTAGCCTCTTAGTCCAGGTCTGTGCTGATCTGAGAAGCCTTTAGAGAGTTCTGAGCAGTGAAATTATATGATCTGATTGTGTTTTAGCAAGATCACTCTGGCTGTGAGTGGAGAATGGATTGTAGGGAGGCAAGAGATGCAGTGGGGTAACCATTTTGAAGGCAATTGTAGCAGTCCAGATGAAAATTAATGGAGCAGCTGGATATGGCATGGCATCATGAACTAATTGATTGCCTCTTTACAGTTTTTTCTCATGTATACATCCAGATCGTCTTGGCTCTGGCTGTGCTCTACCCAGAACACCTTTCACTAGTTGGCATGTCTTTTCATCCACCTCATCTACACATGAAAATAATGGTCTTAGGTGATGATCGTGACAGATGTAGATCACTTGATTCTTTATAAAATGGGGAAAATATTGCAGTTACCCACCCCTTACCTCCCAGAAAACTGAGCACTATACCAAACAAAATCATGGATAAATTAAACTATGAATTTGTTAGATTATTTTTCTTCTTTCTTTTTTTTTTTTTAATTTTTTTATTTATTTTCTTGTTACAGATGTTTCTCCTTTTTTACCCCATTGGCACCCCCCGCCCCACTCCACCCCCACCCCACCCCCGGCTTTGTCGTCCATGTCATTTGGTTATGTATACATGCATATAGGTTCTGTGGTTTATCTCTTCCCACCGCCCCCACCCCCTCTTCTGAGGGATGTCAGTCTGAGCCCTACTTCCAAGTTTCTGGGTCTACCGTATTCCTCAGACTGTTATGTTCATTATATTCCATATATAAGTGAGATCATGTGGTATTTGTCTTTTTCTGCTTGGCTTATTTCACTTAGAATAATACTTTCCAGGTCCTTCCATGTCATCTCAAAGGATAAGAGATCTTTCTTACAGCTGCATACTACTCCATTGTGTATATGTACCACTGCTTTTTATCTATTTGTCTACTGATGGACACTTGGGCTGTTTCCAGATCTTAGCTATTGTAAATAGTGCTGCTATGAACATGGGGGTACATATATTCTTTCTGATTGGTGTTTCTGGCTTCTTAGGATATATTCCTAGAAGCAGGATCACTGGGTCAAATGGAAGTTAGATTTTTAATTTTTTAAGGTAAAACCATATTGTTTTCCATAGTGGCTGCACCAGTCTACATTCCCACCAGCAGACTATTAGAGTTCCCTTTTCTCCACACCCTCGCCAACATTTGTTTGATGATTTGTTGATGGCAGCCATTCTGACAGGTGTGAGGTGATACCTCACTGTTGTTTTAATTTGCATCTCTCTGATGATTAGTGATGTTGAGCATTTCTTCATATGTCTCTTAGCCATTTGTATGTCCTGTTTGGAGAGGTGTCAATTCAGCTCCTCTGCCCATTTTTTAATTGGGTTCTTTATCTTCCTTTTGTTGAGTTGTATGAGCACTCTCTATATATTGGAAATTAACCCCTTATCTGTTGTATCATTGGCAATGATGTTCTCCCATACAGTGAGTTGGCTTTCCATTTTGATTATTGTTTCTTTTGCTGTGCAGAAGCTTTTTAGTTTGATGTAGTCCCATGTATTCATTTTTTCCTTT